CAAATTTAATGAAAATAAATCCCTGAAACGTACTCATAACCACACTGGTCAAGCCACTGAACAACAGCTGGTTTAATTTTTGCCTGCTCATCGTTCAGTTTCCCGTAACCAGTTAAAACAACGAGTTTCTTCCCAGACCGCCCACGTCGGAGCTCCGGCGGTCCTAGAAATCTTCAAAGTATTAAAAAAAAACACAAAAAATGCTTGTTATTGGAGTTACTGAAATTTCCAACTCTTACGCCGCATGTATAAACTGTTCGACTCGTCCTATTTTCAGTTTCTTAAAAACTGGAATTATGCCTATAAATCATGAGCCTTATTTGGTTAACACATGCAGGCTTTCTCGATTCTGCAGAACATAACAAACAAAATCACTGACTGCGGTACGCGAGGAAAGCACATGCTTTCAAAATATATACTCTGTCGTTGCTGGAAAGCAGAACTAATTTCACATAATTTAGAAATGAATGACGTTTAATTCTAGAAGACATAAGTTCCCTCTAAAGATATTAATCCATAAAAAAAGAATATGTAGACTTACTATCTGCAGCATTTAGTTTGGCTTTGAGAAGTTTAATAGCAGACTGAACATTCATATAATGTAAGTCGATGAATAAATTGGATGTATTCGCTTTGATCAACTGTTCATTCAGCTCTGCTATACAATCTCTTGCTTTTTTCCCGAATTTCCGAGCCTACAATTCAATATCAACTAAGCGATAAATTAAAAAACATATTGCGATAGGAAGAATAATTCTTACGAATAATTCTTTTATATCTCAGTGATGAAGCTAAAGAGATATAATAAGCTCTAATAGTAAATATTAAAGTACTCCAGTCATTAACATTTTTATATAATGAATGATTAAATATAACAGTTCAGCTGCTACCACTCTAAACGTTCCCTAAATCGATGTAAAGAGAAACCAGTGCAATTATGTAGCTGTCAGGATAGAAATGGGAAGAGCTCAATGTAGTTCGGAATTTCGGGGTAGTTTCTAAAGCCATTTGTGGAACCCCAAAACTACTGGTAGTATCTGAAGTATATGAACAGCATTTCCAGGCTTATAAATAACTAGATAAGCTGACAGCCACTTACAAACTTCGAGTTATTCCAAATTATAATTCAGAAATAATTTACGGCAAAACCTAATTCCAAAAATTTTCAAGCCCCAATATAAATAATTACTTACCTCAGCAAAATAAAACATTTTAGCTCCAAATTCTCGATGACTCTTGGCCCGCAAAAACATTTCATGCTTCTGTTTGTTATACTTATCTGCTTCTTCTCGTAGTCCACATGCTTCCTTGTGAGCTGATTCTAGATCTGGCTTTGAGACCTGCAGAAATACCATCCAATTTCTAAGGCAATTTGACCAATTTGCTTTCAGTTTGCTTTTTTCTTGGATTTTTTTAACTCGAAACTTCATACAGAAAACGGATAATACTGATGAATTCATTTAGAACCTACCGATAATCCATCGGAAGCAAAATGACGGGAAAATGCTGCCGACATACTACAATTACCATGGGAAGCAATCTGAGAAGGATCACCTGGCGCTTTTGGAATGTTTTCAGTGCCATTTACGAAAAGTTCCAAAGTGTTACGAGTAGCCTCCGCAGAAAATCTAGAATAAAAAACAATTATTTCAACCTAATTAAATGCTAACAATGTTCAAATGTTTGCAGGTAATACATTTATAATATGTTAGTAAACCTATCCTATAATCAATCAAAATAGAACATAAAAAGTGCTACTCAATACACCATGTTAATCAGTGAAACAAATAATGTAAGAAACAATGCCAACGACGAAAGCACAAAAAATGAGAATATGCTATCAAAAACATTACTTGTTATCATGGAAGCACTCCGTAATTCGTTCCCGATCAACTCCTGAATAATCATTTATCAATGCACTTAACTGTAGCCTTTCAGCAATACTCATATGTTTGCCATTTTCCTGAATTAACGATAGGACTACTTTGAATCACTAAACACGGTAACTATTACATTTATATAACTGGCTTACTTTTTACCCAAAATTGTTAATTTGCATATGCAAAGTAGATTGAGAAGTTGTAACGAAAAAACAGAGGTTTTTGCAAAGAAATAAGCCTTTTTCCGAACGGACATGCACTTCTTGTATTGAGTAAAGTAAATTGAATGAGGATGGACAAGAGTAAAACATAAATCAAAGTAGTGGTGAATTATTGACAGCTGGCTACTAACCAAGGATTCATCAGATACCAGTTCGTGATCTTGCAACATTCGCGCCAATTCCTCATCAGAACTAACCAGGGAAGAAAAATCGAAATTTTCACCTCCAAATGCATCATCCACTGTAATGATTGTTGTTATCAATTCGGAAACAATATATAACTCCATATATGTAAGCATTAATTAACGCATTAACTAGTTAATTAACGCAAGCATTAGTCAATTAGTACTAACTGACCAACGAGTAGTAGATTATAGTGGTTTCATTATTTCAACCGATATTATGAAAACTCCGATGAGCCAGCAGAAATGTACAACCAAGTAAAAAAAAGAACCACGACCTTCATCATAGTGATTCCGTTAGTTGTAAAACAAATCAAAAAATTTAATTTTATTAAGATTAGACCCTGCTATGGTATAATTTCGTCTAGGATGCGAGGCTACAGAAGTTATTAAGGAGAGGAATCGTAGGAATATACTTCTAAACAAGCAGTGCTGCAGAAACCCAAAAGGTTCCGAACACTTCTATTTAAACATTTCGATCTAATATTTATCAAATTTCGATAGTGAAGTACTGGATTGTCCCCTATTCTTCGATTATGATCAAAAATTATTAACGAGTACTTGAGACAATTTTTCTAAATCAGAAAATCCCAACTATTCAAATTAGAAAAAGATCCCTGAGCCCTCAACTTCAGCCTCTAGAAGATGAATATGCTAGTCTAGAAGATGAATAATGCTAGGTTTCACTAAGATAAGAAATTTGGAATAATTCATACGTAATAATTTATCTTCCTCTTAACATATCATACATGTCTTATGCTAGTGTAACGATTTTTTGTCACATTAATCACAACATAAAGGCACTGCCTATCTCTGTTATTACGGCGATAAGCAAAATGATTCTTCTGTTTGTCAAAAAAAAAAAAAACTCAAATTTGATCAGATGATAACGGACTAAATAATCAAAACGAAGTTATAAACATGCAATCTTCATTTGAAGGAAAAAAAACCTTTTGTAACTGGGTTGCCCTGCCAGCAAAAATAAATTTGACGCCAAAGCCAGATCGGTAGGTCCACGTATGTTTTTAAAACACAATTACTCTCACTATCACCTTGAAACAATGATTTGATATTTAAAAATGAATTTCAAAGTATAAATTTCCAGTGTTGATCCTTTTGGTTCATGCAATTTATATTAGTTATTTCAAAGCAGATTATAAATTCAAATGACGAAAGATCAGAAATGGGTAATCCAGAGTTCGCAAGATTTGGTTTCTTGACAAAAATAGTAAAATTGAGAAATAAATCTGGAAAAAAAGGTTAGCTTACATTTTAAATATTAAAAAAAAAAAATACCAAAAAGTTGAGTAAGTTGCTCCATCATATCAACTGATATCGCCATTCGGTAATATCCTTGCGGCACAGGTTCAGGATCACAGCACTGCATGTAAGTGCAAGGTGCCAAGTTTTCGGGCATTGTTCGATTCATTTCGAACTTTGGTATAAATGTTGGTGAACTGCTGTTACCGATCTCCTCAAACTCTGCTTCATCCCACCAATAATATGTTCGCGATAATGGTTCCGTATCAATATTTTTATTCTGAAGTTTCTCACGATTAAAATACTTAGTGAAGATTAATCGACATTTGACGAGCCTGCGGAATTGTATTGCAGAACAGTGTGCTCTTTAAGACAAAAAGTTTATTGAATGACAAATAAATACTGTTATTGTTACTGCCACAACATGTAAGTTATCCCACAACATGTAAGTTATCTTAAACATATTACATTTGGAATTTCAAAATGCTTCACACATTCTCAATTTCAGGAAATTTTATTTAATTTATATTTAAAACCGAAAAATGTGTGGATTTGTACCAGAAGAATAAGAATTACGTGTTCAGCACTAATCACGACTTATCTTCTTTTCATTGAAGAAAATTATCCATGATGAATGGTTCTTCCAAAAAAGCAAAGAGTTTCTCTTGCGAATTTCATGTGGCATACGCAGGACACATATCATTCAAATAATTCTATTTGTTACTACAAGATATAGACACTTATAGTTCTGACTTTTACTTCGCTTTGATTATATCAACAATAATAAAATTTGAAAGAATGATAACAAACTTTTCCAACTGGAGCACAAACATCCATGTACGCGTTCATTTCTTTTAGTAATGTCATTGCATTATTTAATCCAACTATCTCTAATATATGTGACAGGTCAGAGGGTTTTTCATCCGGAAAAAATGCTAATAATAATTCGATATCTGGCAGAATGTTACCGTCACTGAAGAAAAAAAAGATTATCACAGTCAACAAAAGGCATACAAATAATAAAATAGCCATTCATATTTGCAGTATTACGAAAATGAATAAGAGGATGAAAGTTCAACTTTGTTGAAGATACAGCAAATCTTTGTGAGATAAACATAATAAAGAACTAACCCAGCCTGAGTAGCTTTTGCTCTCATTTTCTTCTTATTACTGAGATCAACATTACCCCGCATTGTTTCCCAGACAAATTCATCGCTTACAGATAGCAAAGAATCTGATAAATCAAACACTCGAATTAAATCACTAGTCTGACATCCAACTGTACGCAGACCCTTCTTAGGTATCTGAAACTTGAGTATTTGGAAAAAAAAAGTACTCGAAAAAAAATAAATGAAGCCATTACCTAAGTAAGAATAACAACAATGGGATAAAAACAATTGGTCAAAATAAATATGCTCAGAAGTGATGAGTAAAAGTAACAGTGTTATCAGAAATATGATTTAAACTAATCATTTTGGAGTAATAAAGCTCTCGTAAATTCAAACAATGTTTCCATTTTCATGATACTTTTTTAAATCGCTTTCTCAAATACTTCTCTTTCATCAGTTCAAATTATTCATATCATTTGTCACGTTCATTATCATATGATATAAAAAGAATTTCTGAAGCAATTCACAAAAAATTGAAACCTGGTGTGGAATTAAAGAAAATAGCTGTTCAGAACTTTTTTTTGTGTCAGTAGCATCATTTTCCAAAAGTGAATTTAGAGGAATTTTCAGCTTCATATAATCCCCTGTTTCATACAATGAACAGTGTGAATCAGGTGAAGGTGAGGACGCAGTTCTTCCGACTTCTTCTTTCTTAGCATACGCTTTTCGCACATCATCCAAATACTCCGGATATTCTGGCAATGAAAAACGAGAAGAACTTGGCGCTATAATATGAGATTAATGTGAATATTCCTTTCAATTCGCAAACAACTGAACTCAAGAAATATGAATGAATTAACAGGTTATTAGAGGAAAACACCAATGTAATTTCAATTAAAGATGGATTAAAGAAACGTTTCCCACTAAATTTAACGCTTGTTTACTTCTAGGACTACAATGACAAAAACTCGAAACTCTGAGTAGAAACATTCAACACATAAGTACGTATGTGTGAAAAAAAGCGAGGAAGACTGCAATGAAAAAGGAATTTTATTCCAAATCAAAATTGATATTTTATTTTGAATAATTCAACTGCCAAATAGGACTAAAATGATATTATTTAATAAATGCAATAAAATAAATCAATCTTGTCCAATTAAAACGACCGGAAACGAAATCGAGACAACTACCTAGAGGAGAATCCAGTCCCGATGGCAATAAACTGCGAACATCATCTTCATCGTTTATGCCAACTAGCGGTGGAATTATTCTGCAAAAAATAATTATTTGGTATTTGGTATCTCTTCATATGGATTATAAAATTCAAATGTGGAATCAAAATTACATGAAAGTTAGAAAAGTAAAACTTGTAAGAATTTGAGCAGTTATTCACAAAATTTAGATTATACAGAATTAAGATTTTTTTATAACAAATCTCACACCTCCAGCTTCTTGTGAATTTCCCTAGTTGGGTCAGAGTTTTACTGTTTTCAGAAATAACAACAGCTCGGAATTTCTAAATTCTTCCAGCAAGGATTCGGTCTACGTCTGTGGTTAATATAAAAAAACCACCCAGTCCGTTAAAACATTTAACTATAAAGTGATGAAATGTAATTGATACTACGAATTATATCATCCATCTCATAGGAATTGCAACGAATCTCAAAATTCTTATAATACTGTCTTCATATCTTCATTTACCTTAACTGCGTCGGTTTTATTACATCAGTTAAATTGATTTTTTCGAAACATTCAGCCATATGTGCAATTTTTTCTTCTGGTACAGAGTGCGCATTACGCCTGTAGTTGAATAAATTTTTTGATCAAAATCTCCAAAACAAAAATGCTCTTTACAAGAAAACAATGGAAATGAAGGAAAGAATATATGAAATATTTATGCTTCATACATATATACCTAGCACACTCCTTTGCATTTTTCTTCCACTCTGTTTCCGGCTCTACGAAATAAATTTCATATAAATTTTTCACTGCCTGAAAACATTTGCAAAATTTTCGTTATAATCATAGTTCATTCACTTATCATTTTACTTGTATTATTAAATTTTCTTTCTTGTCTAACGCTGAGCATTTAGCCATATAGTTGTTTATAACCAAGGTTTTGAAATATCTTGAAAGGTAACATTTCGAACTTCCAACAAAGTTTATCAACTTCTCTCATTGTAACTTTTCTTTGTCCTACCATGCAGTCCCTACAAATACTTTTTTCCTTCCATTTAAATAACTGGTACCACTCCTTGATTAGTAATGCTTTTTTTTCCTTCTTTTCTAAACATCTGTTGAAGTTTCAAGTGTATATAACTGCTATTTCGGAAAATCTTAATTAGAAACTAACAAGATTAATGTAAGGCTTCATGTGTGCCACAAATATGTTCGTATTGTCGATGATTATTACCTTTACCCCTTGCTGGATTGCATCTTTTGCTGAAAGAAAAACAGAAAATCAATTACTCACAGAAATTAAAATTAGTGTTTCTGTGAACGGAATGATCGTTTTTTTGAATTCTTTCGAGACCGGTAATTCCAGTTAAATTTATCCCTTTATCATAACATTAATCACTATAAGGTCTGAAAGCATTTGTGAACTTTTTTTGTTGCAGCTGTGATTTAGTAAATTATCATTCAATTTCACCACTAATTTTGATTTCGCATTCCTAATCAAAGTTTTTAACAAAATCACGTTATTTTTAATGAAAAGGAAGAGATAACAAATGCATAACCTTGCGATAACAAATGCAAAAAAAAAGTCTTTAGCATTTACCTCACTCATCAATCTCTAAACTTTATTTTCAAATCTTCCATCTATATATTACTTACACGTTCATTTATATGTTTCCAATTATCTTATACGTTAGATACTTTTAATGTGCTTTTAAATTACTCTTATATTTATCTCGTAACATCCTTAATTCCCAGTTCTAATTTTCGAACAAAGTACTAAATTAACTAAATTATTAAATTGAATTAACAATACAGTAAATGCATTAAAGCATGCAGTTGAAATTCCACTCAATGCACATACCTTCCTTCCAATTTTTCTGATGATATTCATCCAGTTTGGTAGGATCGAACTGGTACACACCATTTTGCATGAAATATTTGTCGGTATTGAAAACCGCACCATTTGTTCCGGATATTAAATCGCTGCAATGAAAAGAAAGAGGTCATTTTAGGATATAAATTATCCTAAACAATAAAAACTACAAGGATAATGGTAGTATATATCCAGAAGGAAGGAATTAACCTTCATTTAGCATGCATGCCATGAAATAACTTGCATCTGGCATGCATCAAATCAATTAATCTATAATTTAACAATTACGCTCGTAAATACTAATTTATACATTTGATATGCATCAAACAAATTAATCTCTCTACCTAGCTAGATAAGATTTGCCTGATCCAGGGATGCCACGCATTATTACCATAACATGATGACCATTTTGAATACATTTCCGGATATCTTCCAAACCAGTTACCGGTTCCCAACATTGTTCGTGAATGCTTGGTACAACCATTTTTAGACATCAGCAACGTTTTTTTATTCCCTTTTTTTTTTAAAATTAACAATAGCGATAACAAATCTGAAAAGATAAATAAACACGTAATATCAACATTTGCACAAAATACATAACTAATCAAACCATTATCACAACAAGCTTTATGTCACAATGCTTGGTTCGTTTGGATCACTGGAAGATCGCGTGATTAAACTTGAAGTTAGCCTAGTATGGCTTAACTTTGTAATCTTATCATGATTAAGATCTTATCACTAGTCGTTATATATAAGTGATATGATCAGATGCAAGATTAGGATAACAAAAAACGGGAAAATGTCGATAAATCCGGACGATAATACTGTTTGCTGGATGATTAGCCAAGATTGCAGTTCTAGAAATCCTAGTTAGCGTGCAAATGGTATTAGTGTAAGCATTTTAGAAGAAGTCAGCGTATTTTAAACATGTGTGACTTTTACGATCGTATATTATTTTGTGCTTACTTTGTGTTGCTTCATGGAAACATATAGATTTATGTAATATATGATTCAGGAGTTACTTATGTTCACGGTAATGTTATTGCGAAGAAAACATTGTATGAGTTAACTGGAACATACCGATAATGTTAGGAAATTAATTTTCAGAAAATTAATTGTATTAACCTGGAATTAATACTGGTATAACTTGCATGCCTAACAATGAATTTTATTGGCGATATGGAGAATTTTCCGCCTCCAAGTAATGTTGAAAATACATATATGCGAAGGTTATTCAGTCAGATCTGGTTAATTAGTTCGAAGTTGATTAATTCTTTCCTTAATCACAATTGATTAATTTTCTCTTAATTACTCATTCTGCATTTTGTGCGAAATAAAACCGCACTGAACCCTTCTACTTCCTTCTAGTCCGCTTCTCAGGAATGCGAACGAAACTATGATTATCGTACTTATAAGCTAAATATTGTTTTGAAATTATCCGTAATCGTGACAAAGATATTGCCATTCGGTCTATTCGGAAATGATCACTCATCTCGTCTAGTTTTACATTTATTCCTTGTCATTTCTGTAAATATAATTTTCTTTATCAAGTCAATATACCCCAGTATACAGGTTCTACCTCCAGAAACGTGCCGAGCTGGAATTTGAAATGCAAAACTTACGAGAGCTGAAACATCCGGAATATACCAGTGCAATGCAGATGCTTGAAGAGCAATATAAGACTGAGCTGGAAGCAGAAGAAATCGCCGACCAGGTTATGCTAATTCTGTTCATAATTTTTGTCTAATTTGGGACTTATTTTTTCGATAACTATTTTTAACATAATGTAACCTTACCATTAATTTTTTCGGTATGAAAGAGACCTATCGACGGTTGTTTAGGTATTAGAGATCATTTTATCACAACTCTCAGGTTTTTTTGTTTACCTTTTTTTCTGTTTTTTTTTTTACAGGTGCATTGTGCGGTAAAACACAACCTTTTGAAATGCATTAATTTTACAACTGGTTTTAAATGTTAGAGTTTGGAATGGATATGTAGCGCATGCAATCGTGTCTCGATAGGATCGAGATTGTGTGTTGCTGCTCTAGCATTTTGGCAATGTCCAAGAAGCTAATATCCGCAGCTTGCTTCCTAATATTATTCAAAAAGAAAATTCGGACTAGTTCACTGTTCCTATTTCTTATTCAGTTCGTTAAAAGAAAAACTTGGTTGATATATGTACATTTTTAATATTATTCATGTTTTTAGCTGGAAAAGGAACGCATCGAGGAACAATATAAACGAGAAAAGGAAGCGGCGGAGAGAGAACTTGAAGAGCGGTTAACAGAACTTATGGAAGCCATGATTCAAGAATGTGAAGAACAGAGGAAAAAGATCGATCATGAATTTCATAATTCTGATATTTCCAGTGCACCCACAAACGATTTTCCCAGCAAGAAAAGCCTTCGGAGGTGCATCTCTTCTGCCTTTGAGTCATCAAGAGAGAAAGAGTTCCTGAACTAATTAAATAAGTTGAAAAGTAGAAAGAAGCGTTAAAAATACTTTCCACTACTGTCGTTACGTATTAAGAAATACGGAAAATTGATTTTCTTCAAGATCCTAATTCGTCCTTGTCTTAATCTAATTGATCTGTCAATCTAATAAAAATAAGTCGATTCTTGTAGTTTATGATTTTTCCGAGTTCCATTAGATGAATTTCCCGTTGTATCATTGCGTTTAATTTGTCCATTTTTATTCTGTGGAAAATGTTCCATTTATAGAATTATTCTAGAACGGGTTAGAATGCGTTGTAGGTAAAAAGCTTTGAACTAAAAAGAAAAACCCGCAGATCGTGAATTAATTTTAGGGAATTGATACATTCCTTCACTTTTATAGTCCACTTGAATGTTGCGAATAATATTAAAAGTGATCGGATAAATTTAAAAAGTCAATATTTCATTATTTTGAATTTTTAGGCGGCCGAATGAACCAACGCCCTATAGCGAAAAGCACATGCATTCCAAAACACGTCCGAACATTGCGGATGCTCTTACCGATCAAGAAATTCAGGAAGATCTGCTACTGTTAGAAGAAGCTGAATTGAAAAGCTCATAGCATAGTCTTAATTCTGCCGGCATACCGTAATTACCTTTTGTTTTTTCAGTGGTAGAAACTCAACCAATTGATTCAAGTAGAATAATGTAATATTCTTGAACTGTTAATTGGTCACAAGAAAATCAGTAAGCTCCAGTAAGACTCGAGAGGTTTTTAAGAATCGCATGGGATAATTGAAATCATCTGGTGAGAGGCATTTCGTGATATTAAAAAATCAATAATTATCATCATTAAAAATAATCCGTCATTGATTGTTATATGTTGGTGGAAAGCTCCAGTGATATTTTCTCTCACGCTCGTCTTAAAAATTAAGATGCCATTTAAAACTTCGGAGGACGTGTTTGTTCAGCATGGACAATCACAAAATTTGTTTAAAACGTTCATTGCTGATTTATAGTTATTTGATCCTCTATTTTACATCTTTTCGATCTCGCTGAAGTGCGTCTTCTGCATAAAGCTTTCGTTTTTGATATCAATTCATTTCTCATAAATCTAGAAAGCAAAGCATTTAATCTAACGGTGTAAATTCCTAATTTACAAGTTTATTAATTGTTATTTAAAATGTCTTGATCTTTCGGTTTAGTATTTTGGTCAAGATTTTCCTTAACTCAGGAGCCTAGCTATCTCATTTGAAGTGTACTGGATTATGTATCATTCATCGTTTTACAGTCTAAAAACTCGTCGATCGTATATTGCATGATTTATTATACATTTTTTTCAAATTGTACAGATCATTTTGGAAATTTCATTTCATTCCCATGTTTCTATGAATGCTTTTCTCAGTTTGCTTTGTTTCAAGCTCTGCTGATCTCACCATTCCCATAAAATGGTTATACTACTAGATTAAAATACATACGCTCTATGTTGTAGTTTTTGTCCAATATTCTGCTTTCTAGAGCAGCCGGAAATTCGGGGAATTTGAATACTTTCGCCATCTATTTAATGGCCCAAATGAATGGCGAAAGATATATCACCTGCGCTTCCTTTAATTCTTGTTTTTGTGTATATTTCTTCAATTTGGTCATTGTTTTCAAATCTCCAAAACTATCCAGCTGTTAATGAGTGATTATGTTTTTTATTTGTTTTTCCTTCCAGAAACTTTTTTTATAAAAACTGCCCAAACCTTCATCTTTTCCACGTGACATATAACATGTATCATGTCTTCATCGTTTTACAAAGTGTACAAAGAGAAGAGTGTTATCACTGCGCACTCGTCTCATTACCGCAATTTTAAAATTTGAAAATCGAAAAACTATCTTGCAATAAGATTTCGTAAATAGTTCAAGTGTACTCGGTATTTACAGATATATGGTAGAATTTCTTACTTCATTAACGTATTAATTGCTCCATCACTTAAAGTAGAGGGAAAAAAAACTGAGGAGCATTGTGGATACACACCTAAGTGATCATGGATAAGCATTCTTAACTGTTGTGTATTTAGTGATCTTTTGAAGATTGTCACGAAAGTTTTTCTTCTACTTGACTGTTGGCATAGACGAATAGTTGTGATAAAGGTTTTCATGGATAATTTATTCTTCTTGGAAATATTATAAGACAAAGTTTTTAGGGAATGTTCCAGATAGAATCCATCGGGACATTGTTATTGAAGTCGCTTGTTGAGAAATTTGTTGGAATTAGATTGAAATTGTAGTT